ACTTGTTCACATCCTTTTACCTCAGTTGTCAAGTGCAATGGACACTTCTGCTTTATTTTTTTGATCTCTCTACAGCATTTTATATTACTGATTACTCCCAGCTTTGAAAATTACTTCCTTCCATGGTGTATGTGATACCCCCTTTTCCTAGATTTCTTCCCATTTTTCTGACCACTTCTCAATTTTCTTTATAGGTTTCTCTTCCCCTGTTCCTCTCTTCTACAGCGAGGTCCCTCGAGGCTCTGTCTTATGTCCTCTTCTTTGCTCACTGTACATATTCTCTGTAGATAATCTGGTTTCAGCCCCCTGCTATCTGTTGATGACTCATAACCCATAACTCTCTCCTTACCTATTAATTCTCCTGGAAATCCTACAGGCATCTTACACTCATCCTTATCTAAGGCTGAAGTCTCCCTTCTCTTCCCTTCATTCCTCACATTTTAATATGTCCCCCCCCCTTTCCTTACTCTTTTTAAACAATATATATTTTTATTGCTTTTTAGATAGAGAGGAAAGGAGAGAGAGGGAGAGAGAAAGAAACATTGATGTGTGAGAGAAATATCGATCGGTTGCCTCCTGCATGCACCCTGACAGGGACTGAACCCACAACCTGAACCAGAGACCTTTCGGTGTACAGGATAATGCTCAGCCAACTGAGCCAGACTGGCCCGGACTAATCTGTGTGTTTTTTTCCCATGAATTCTCTATCTTGATGAATATGACAATTACCTTTTCAACTGTCAAAGGTGCCTGTTCTCTTGTACCTCCACATTGTATATGTGCTGCCTCCTCTGCCACTCCTTTACCCTACTTTTAAAGCTAATTCCTATTTGTCCTTTGGGCTCGCTCAGGCACTACTTCTGGGAAGCTTTCCTTGACATGGCATAGCCCAGGTTATAAATCTTTCCTAAATTAAAACACAGCACCTTGAGTATTTCTTTAATATGGTACTTATCACTCTAGGATTATAAATTCTATTTTCCAAACTCTGAACAGTCCCATGAAGGCAGGGAGCACATCTTATTCCTCCATAAATTTATGCTCCATAATTGTTTGTTTACACTCATGGTGTCAACTTCTGTTGAACCTAGTCCATCAGACCTCTATCCCACTCCCCAACAGCACATGATGACCAATGATCTTCATGTTGCCAAGTCCAACCATCAGTTGTCAGCCTGTGTGTTTGACTCTGCTGAGAACTCTCCTTTTAGAAACACTTTATTCACTTGACTCCTGACATTCTCTTGTTTCACTGCTATTTCACCAGTTGCTCTCCTTCAGTTTTCTTTGCTGGTTCCTCCTTATCTCTCCAACCATTAAACAACAAGGTACCCTTCATCTCAGTCCTCAGAACTTCCCTCTAGCTACACTCCCTCCCTAGGTAATCTCATGCTTCTCATGCATCTTTAAATACCACTGACATGTTGATATATATCTGTTCTCATCTCCAGCCCAGATCTCTTCCAATTCTAAATTTGTACATCCAAGTTCCTATTTGACATCTCCGTTTAGATAAAAAACTATAAAAATTTTTATATTTAATAAGTCCAAAACTGAGCTTCTAATATTTCTTCTACTCTAAACCTGCTTTTACTATGGTCTTCCTCATCGCAATTAATGGCATTTTCCCAAGTGTTTGGTCCAAAAACATTGTTGCCACTCTTGATTCTTCTTTTTCTCTTTACCTTCAGTATAAATCCTGACCACTTCTCATTACCTATGTGGCTACTACTCCAGTCCAATCCATTATCATATCTTTCTTAAATCATTACAATCCTATATAATAAAAGCCTAATATGCAAATCGACCAAATGGTGGAATGACCAGCGAAACGACCGGTCGCTATGACACACACTGAACACCATGGTGCAGACGCTCAATGCAGGAGCTGCCCCCAGCCCGCAGGCCCCAGGCCAGCCAAGGCGAGTGCCAGCGGGGCCCCCCAATTGCCCCACCAGTCACCCCACAGATGGTCCCTGATTGCCGGCCAGGCCTAGGGACCCTACCCATGCACGAATTTCATGCACCAGGCCTCTAGTCTATATATATAGAGACTAGAGGCCTGGTGCACAAAATTTGTGCACTGGGGGGGTGGGGTCCCTCAGCCCAGCCTGCGCCCTCTCGCAGTCCAGGAGCCCTCAGGGGATGTCCTACTGATGGCTTAGGCCCAAGCAGCCATCAGTCAGACATCCTTAGCACTGCCACGGAGGTGGGAAAAGCTCCCGCCACCGTTGCTGCGCTCGCCAGCCATGAGCCTGGCTTCTGGCTGAGCAGCGCTTCCCCTGTGGGAGCGCACTGACCACCAGGGGGCAGCTCCTGTGTTGAGCATCTTCCCCCTGGTGGTCAGTGTGTGTCACAGCGACCAGTTGTTCCACTGTTCGGTCTATTTGCATATTAGCCTTTTATTATATAGGATAGCTAATATGCAAAGTGTCCTCTTGGGAGTTTGACCGGGAGACCGGGAGTTTGATCGCTTGCTATGATGTGCACTGACCACCAGGGGGCAGCGTGGAACAAAGGAAGGCCCTGGCCAGCAACTGGCAGCCGGGGAAGGGAGGCCCCGGCCAGCAGCTGGAAGGCCCTGGTCAGCCCTGATCACTGGCCAGGCCTAGGGACCCTACCCATGCACTAATTTGGTGTACCAGGCCTCTAGTTGTCTTATAATTGGCTTCCATGCCTCTGCCATTGTAGCTCTAGCCTCTCCTCTTTTTAAAATTTAAACCAGATCACATCACTCCTTTGCACACAAACACTCCATCAGGGTTAAAGCCTAAGTCCTGAGCCAGGCCTGTGTGGCTCAGTGACTGAGCGTCGACCTATGAACCAGGAAATCACAGCTTGATTCCCCATCAGGGTACATGCCTGGGTTGCAGGCTTCGATACCCAGTGTGGAGCATGCAGGAGGCAGCCAATCAATGATTCTCTCATCATTGATGTTCCTGTACCTCTCTCCCTCTCCCTTCCTCTCTGAAATAAATAAAAATATTTTTTTTAAAGAGAAAGAAAGTCTAGGTCCTCACAATGGCCCTATATCGCCTTGCTTTCCCTATTACCCAAGCATACGAAGAATGTTTCTGCCTCAGAGCATTTGCATGTGCTCTTATCTCTGGCCAGAATCATTCTTCTCCCTGGCTCAAATCTTCAGATTTCTGCTCATATGTCTCCTTATCAGAACCTTTCCTTGACCACTCTACACTCGATCTCTCTTAGCTGCTACATGTTTTCATAGCTCTAATCATCAACTGACACAATATCTTTATTTGTCTATCTCTCTCCCTAGAACAGTGATGATGAACCTTTTGAGCTCGGCGTGTCAGCATTTTGAAAAACCCTAACTTAAACTCTGGTGCCGTGTCACATATAGAAATTTTTTGATATTTGCAACCATAGTAAAACAAAGATTTATATTTTTGATATTTATTTTATATATTTAAATGCCATTTAACAAAGAAAAATCAACCAAAAAAATGAGTTTGTGTGTCACCTCTGACACGCGTGTCACTTCTGACACGCGTGTCATAGGTTCGCCATCACTGCACTAGAATGTAAACCCTATGGTGGCAGGGAAGTAGTCTGTATGAATGCCTAAAACAGGGTGTGGCTCATAGTAGGTGCTCTTTGAATATTTGCTAAATGAATAGTAAAAGGAAAGAAGGAAGGACAGAAAATGGGGGAAAATAGCAGGCAAGGGGGAGAGAAGGAATAAAGAAAAGAAACCAGCATTTGAGCCCAGCTGGTCTGGCTCAGTGGTTGAGCATCGAAGCTGGGTCCCCAGTGGGGGCGTGCAGGAGGGAGCTGATTGATGATTCTCTTTCATCACTGATGTTTCTCTCTCTCTCTCCCTCTCCCTTATTCTCCGAAATCAATAACATAATAAATAAATAAATAAAAAGATTTTTAAAAAACGAAACTAGTATTTGAGTGAAATGATGGTAGCTTTTTCTTACAATGTACCTGAGGGGATCCAATTTTTGAATTACAGGAAAATTAAGCCAAGGACCCATTAAGCATTACCCTCTCCCCCCCTTTAGAGAACAAATTGACAGGGGCGTGTTTTATACTAATTTAAACAGGTTAGGTACTGAAAACTGCCAGGAGGATGTTTTCGTAATGCCAGCCAAATTAAAGAATTCTTGTCCAAGTATGTGAGGCTCCGCCCCCCCCCCCCCCCCATAAGATTAAATGAGTAAGATTTCAAAAGAAATATACCATACAACCCAGCTGGAAAGTTAGCTGGCAGGGAGAGTAGAGAATGGTACCAGCAGAGAGCTTGCTCTGAGGTTTTAGCCTTTGATGGATCCTGCAGCTAAGAAACTTGCTAACTAGACTGGGTCAAGAAGTTTGTTTCAAACAAAGAACCCAGAGGAGGACAATAGCTGCACAGCTGCTACCACTTAAATGCAGAGATACAGAAATTCTCGTTGTTTGATTTGGAAAAAAGGATGGCATGCCCTGACCAGTTTGGCTCAGTGGATAGAGCGTCGGCCTGTGGACTCAAGGGTCCCAGGTTCGATTCCGGTCAAGGGCATGTACCTTGGTTGCGGGCACATTCCCAGTAGGGAGTGTGCAGGAGGCAGCTGAATCGATGTTTCTCTCTCATCGATGTTTCTAACTCTCTATCCCTCTCCCTTCCTCTCTGTAAAAAATCAATAAAATATATTAAAAAAAAAAAAAAAAGAATGGCAGCCTAGGAAGCCCTGTATCCTAATTTGCGCAGAAGTAATAAGCCATTTTAGTAACCTCAGGCAAAGCACTTGGCCTTCTGTCCTTCACTCAACTCAGGAAAGAAAAAGTGGTTCAAAAGGAGTACATCTGTGAAAAAATGATTCCCTGCACCTAAGCCAAGTTCTCCTGAGCAAATGGCTCACAAATCAGACCAGCTGGCACAAGTGCCTGGCTCAGCTGACACGGAGCCCAAGCCCCACAGAGGCTGCAGGTGGCTGGGCCACACAGGCTCTGCTCCCGAGGCCTCACATGCCCCGGGCCTTCTGAGTACTTACATTTCTCCTCTTTTCCGAATTTGCTTCTTCAGCGGCTTTCTGGTACCTTCGGAGAAGGGAGAGAAAAAAGAGAATGTCCTCAAATTAAACTTATATTTTTACTATTTCAATCTTTAAGAAAACGACTTTTGCAAACCTATGTCTGACAGCAACTATCTTTAACAACTCTATCAGAAGAAGCAGAGAATGAGAGTAGCCCTCACCTCTTGCTGTTCCTGTCATCTGCTCCGATATAACATATCCAAGTTGATGAGGCCAAATGCTGGGAAACAACTGGGTAGAGCAGAAAGTACCCACAAGGCTGGGGGGTTAGTCCCAGTCTCATCACTTAGTAACTATGATGATGTCTGGCAAGTCACTTAATCTAAGCCTCAGTTTCTTATCTAGAAAATGACTTTATATAGCTACTTCCAGGGTTGCCAGAAGACTGAATGAGATCACGTGTGTAAAACTGCCTTGGGATTAGTCGAAGGATATGGCATTGCATTAATCCTAGGATGTACATTTCCCCCACATGGAGGAAATGCAGAGATACAGAATTACAGGAAAATTAGCATTACCCTCTCCCCCCCTTTAGAGAGAACAAATTGACAGGGGCATGTTATATACTAATTTAAACAGGTTAGGTACTGAAAACTGCCAGGAGGATGCCTTTGAAATCTTCCATTCTTGTCAGCCCAGAGGTAGTCACACTGCCTGCACATGTGTGAATTTGGTCTAAGTATTGGTATTGTCACTTTGGCTCAGTTAAATGTATTTGATGGTACCACACATGTTTTAAATGCAATTTAAAATGTGTTTAAAGAGATTATACTATGATTTGGCATTTAAAGAAAAATTATTTTACTTTTTTTATGTACAAATAAGAGTGACACATGAGAAAAGTTTATGTGTTAAGCAAGCACTGGTCCTGTTTAATTAGCAGTATTTTTTCATAGTGATGCATGAAATAGTGGCACAGCCTACAGTCAATGTCATCTAAGGTTTGATAAACAGGCATATATAATGTATTATTACTTTTATTACTTTATTACATTTATTATTAATTTTAGCACTTTATTTTATCATTTTTATTATTTGGCTCAGGAGATCCCTGAGAATCAAGTGAAGTCCCAGGGCTTTTCAGCAGGGGCGGTGGGGGGTGAGGAGGGGAATCAGGTTTTCTCCATTTGAAGATCAAGGAGGCCTGGGAGGTCCAGGAGGCAGCAAATCTCCAAGACCACCCAGAACATTAATCTGGCTTCCTCAGAGCCTCTGAGTCAAGCATTGAAGGTGGCACCATTGCTCGGAGAAACCCCACCATGTGCCTCTCCTTGGGTCTGCATGCCTCAGCAACAATCCAACCCCAGAAAAGGGCTGCTTTTTCTCTGTGTTAAGGTAGAATTTCAGAATTCACAAGATATTTGTAGAGGGAAAGGAGGCGAGAGAAGAAGAGCAGATGGGCAAGATCCCATTCTGTGTGTGCTTTGTTTTGTTGTTGTTTCTTTTAAATTTATCTTTATTGTTGAAAGTATTACAGCTGTCCCCTTTTTTTCCCATTGACCCCCTCCACCCAGGTCCCATTTCTTTACCAAAACCAACTTTCAATTAATAAACAACTTCAGAAGCTCAGAACTTTCTTAGTATGTGTGTTAAATAGAATAACCTCATACAAAAATGGAAGCCAGAAAAAAAGTCCTGATTCTGGCACTGTCGTTTACCTGCTGTGTGACCTGGGTTATATCACTTCATTTATCATTTACCGGCCTCACCTACAAAATTAGGTGACTATGTGAGACGATTTCTATGTCCTCCTTCCATTCCTATCACTGTTTACATTTTAATAATCAGATATTAGTAAGCATCTAATTCAGTTGAGTATTACTCTGCAACTGAGCAAAACTTTCTATAGGATAGGGTAAAAAAAACACCCCCAAATTTCTGGGATTTTACTGACCATAAAGAGGTGATGAAAGAAAATGATATTAGAAGTGCTATAAGTTAAGCAACAAGCTGGAAAGATATTTGCAATTTATATTACACAAAATGGCTAATTTCTCCAGAATATCTCAAAGAACTCTTACAAATTAATAAGAAAATGACCAACCGCCCAGCTGGTGTGGGTCAATGGTTGAGCATCAACTCATGAACTAGGAGGTCATGGTTCGATTCACAGTTAGCGAACAAGCCCAATTTTGGGGCTCCATCCCCAGTAGGGGCCATGTGGGAGGCAGCTGATCAATGATTCTTTCTCATCATTGATGTTTCTATCTCTCTCCCTCTCCCTTCCTCTCTGAAATCAATAAAAATATATACATCCTATATAATAAAGAGCTAATATGCAAATGGTTGTCATGTCCTCACACCCTCACAGGGGGGGCGGGGGCTGGGGGACCTGAGGCCGCACCCCCCACCCCGGCACCAGGGCCAGGGGACCTGAGGCCGGGCTGGGGGACCTGAGGCCATGCTCCCTGTCCTGGCCCTGGGCTGGGGGACCTGAAGCTGTGTCCCCCGCCCGGTGCCGGGGGACCTGAGGCTGCACCCCCCCACCTGCAGGACTTGATGGGGGTGTGGCCGGCCAGGTCTCGTGTGATTTTGAGGCACACATGGGTGGGCGGGGAACTTGACTCTGGGTCCCGTGGCACACCCCAGACTCTGACAGGAGGGAGATTTTCATATACATTTTACTAATTTTCTTTCATCTCTGACACTTCTATTATAGAGAAAGGGCAAATAGCAATATGAAAATATTTCCTCTAATTAATTCCCTTTTAATGTACACGAATTTCATGCACCAGGCCACTAGTGTGTGTGTGTGTGTGTGTGTGTGTGTGTGTGTGTGAAAATTACAAATAACTTAATAGAAAAATAGGCAAAATGAGGCAAGAAACGCATTCCAGACACAGAAAAATAGCACACGCAAAGGCCCCAAGGCAAGAAAGCGTTTCATGTATAGGTACACAAAGACCCCCAGTGTTGCTGAAGTGCACTGAGAAAGGGGGAGAGCAGGAGATGACACTTGGAAGCAGGGGCTTTGTAAGGGTTTTTAACTTAATTCTAGGTACAATGAGGTCCTGGCCAGGTACCTCAATTGTTTAGATATGCCAAGGTTGTAGGTTTGATCTCTGGTCAGAGCACATACAAGAAACAACCAATGAATGCATAAATAAGTGGAACAACAAAATGATCTCTCTTTCTCTCTCTCCTTTCCTCTCTCTAAAATCAATCAGTGGGGGGGAAAAAACTTTAAAAAATCCTAGGTACAATGAATGGTCATCAATCCAATTCATGTTTTTAACAGAGCTCTTTGGATACTATGTGGAGAATGGACTGGAGGGGGCTGAGAATGGGGGTGGCATTAGTGAGAGATGATGCTGGTTTGGCCCAGGGTGGTGGCATTGGAGATAAGGAAAAGTGAATAGATTTGAGACATTTCAGAGATAGAATCAACAAGATTGGTGCTAAGAGGTGGGGGGAAAAAAGTCAAAGTGATCCCCAGGTTTCTAGCAGCTGGGTCAATGGAAGTACTATTTACTTTACTGGAATGGGGAATTCTGAAGGAGGAGTGAATTTGCGGATAGGGAAGATCAAGAGGTCAGTGTTAGCCATGTTAACTAAAACATCCATTTGATGGTGGCAGTAATTAGATACATGTGTCTAGAGCTCAGAAGAGAAAGCTGAGCTAATACTATAAATTTAGGACTTGTCTGCCCACAGATGGTATTAAAGCACAGGAGTATATGATATCACCTACAAAGTGTGTGTAGTGCAAGAAACGGCCCAGAACTCAGTCCTGGAGACCCTAACATTAGCAGTCAGAAGAGGAAGAAGAGGTGATAAGAGAGAATGGCAAGGAACAGGCAGAGAGGTAGAAGGAAAAGCAGGAAACTGCCAGTGAAGTCAACAGAAGAAAAAAATGTGGGAAGGAAGAAGTGGTGAGAAGTCATGCAAGACAAAGGCTAACAAACAGCTCGATTTAGCAACACAGAAGCCCTTGGTTACCTTGGCGATCTTCTTCCATTGTGAATATAGTATAATTAATTTACCCATACTCCTTTTTCTTTTTTTTTTTAATATATTTTATTGATTTTTTGCAGAGAGGAAGGGAGAGGGATAGAGAGTTAGAAACATTGATGAGAGAGAAACATCGATCAGCTGCCTCCTGCACACCCCCTACTGGGAATGTGCCCGCAACCAAGGTACATGCCCCTGACCGGAATCGAACCCGGGACCCTTCAGTCCGCAGGCCGACGCTCCATTCACTGAGCCAAACTGGCTAGGGCTACCCATACTCCTTTTAATGGGCATTTGGATTGTTTCTAGTTTTCTACCATTGTAAATAGTGCTGTGGTGAATGTCCTTGTACATATATCCCTCCCTCCCCACTTGTACATGTGTCTGAGAGAGTACCTAAAAATGGAACTGCAGAAACACAGTGGATTATAGCTAGGAAGGCACTTAGAACCTGCCTTGAACTTGTGTTTCCACAACCCTTGGTAATCATCTTCAGTGTATTACAGCAATAATACAATATATGAAAGCCAGAGCCAATCAGCAAATGGATTTATTCTTAGTCAACTGTTCTCCAAGGCAAAATATTTACACTGTGGGTAGTTGGGTAAATAAGTTCAGAAGTTCCCTTTACTGTCTTAACAGAAACACAGATTTAAAGAAAGAAGATCAAACTAATTTTCACTTCAGTCCTGACCTTTTAGCACTGAAGCATCTATATATACTGATGGCTGTCTTGAATTTTTTTGAAACTCCCAAACCAAATATCCTCACCTTTTATTTGTAATGAAGTACTTGCTAAATAGTAGATTCAAAGGGAGACAGGTTCTATACCACTGCTTTTTTCCAAGCCAGGTTCTTGCTACTTTTACACTTTGTACCCTCAGAAGGCTAAGAGACTCGAAGGCCTAATCCTTCTGAATTTGGTGTTAGACCAGGCTTCTGGCCTCAGACTTTCCTCAAAGGCATTAGCATTATTCTGACACAAAATATGAAGGTTATTGATTTGAGGAAGGCGCGGAGGCATTCTGAAAATTTAATGTTGAGGAGGAAATA